GGGGGGGGGGGGGCGACTGCCTGCCGTGTACATAAATCCGAAAAGCGTCGATTGAGACTCAGTGTACTGCGCAGAGAGACGCAGTGCGAGAGGGTCGGATGGAGTACTAAGTCAGTGAGTGTATCTGCGTGATACGGACGGCATCATGTGTGTGTCTATGTCTGCTTGTGTGAGGGCGACGTTTGCGCAGCAGTGGTGTGCAATAACTGACTGACATCGATCAAACACTGGTGTTAGCACGAGACTTGAAGCCAACTGACACAGAAAGTCCGTTTGCCATGCTCCTGAGGAGCAGACGCACACACCGCCCCCCGCCATGCACATGGAAAGACAGACAGAGAGAGGGCGATGATGGTACAGCAGCAGCAGATAGTCTCACCACACACACATTCACACACGCGCATTCATCCCATCCAGGTTAAACTGACCCCGCCCACTCTGGGCAAAACCAGGCACAGAACCAGGCGTTCAGGCACGCAACCAAGCAGAAGGGCAGAAACAATCGCCCCCTGCCCTGCCTCACTGTTTGGCCTCTTCTTGTTTGGGTGGTGGCGGGCCGCCCTTGGAAGTGCCCACCTTGGCCGGCCGCAGCACCCTCTCCTTGATGCGATAACCGCTCTTCAACACGTGAACCACCGTGCCTTTGTGCTGTTTGACAGAACATATGCAGACACAGAGGAGAGAGATGGATGAATGGATGGATGGCGTATCAGGGGAGGGGAGGGGTTTGAGCGTGCCTTCGTGGCGTCTTCGACTTCGAAGAGCGCCTCGTGCTTGGAAGGGTCGAACCTCTCACCCATCTGCACACACACACACACACACACACACATACACACATACACGCATGTTCATTCCATATGGGCGCCTTCGTTGACGTACTGGGGTGTATTTCTCGATGTCGAAGTTGTCGAAGGCTTTATGCATCTGCGCCTCGGTCAGCTTGACGCCGTTGTAGATCTGTTTCAGCTCCTCGTTCGTCCCCTGCTCGCACCACACACACACATACACACACATCCATCCATCTCTCTCTCCCTCTGTGCGTGTGTGCGATTGCGTGGCATGGTTACGATTTTGCCTTCGTCGATGTGGTCGGTGGCCAGCTCCAGGCTGTCGGCAACGTCGAGCATGGCCGACGCAAACTTGGAGATGCCATACTTGTTGGCATTCTCAACCTGTCACACACACACGAGCACACACACACACAACAGACGCCTGATGGATGGATGAGTGAGTGAGTTGGGCGTGTTGCTGCTGCGGCTGTGCGTACCTCTCTCTGGTATCGGACTCTGGCGTTCTCCTGCTCAGCGAGGCACCTCATGAGTTTGTCCTGGAGCTCCTTGACCTTCTTGGTCGACTCTTTGGCGGTCTTCTTGAGCTGCAGGTACTCCTCCTCGCTCAGATTCTCGGGGATCTCTTCCTCCTCCTCGGCAGCACCCTCACCCTGACCATGATCAACAGACCATCAGCAATGGACACACAACACAGAGTGATGCATGAATCCCTCCCTCACTCTCTCTCTCTCATCCTGATCCATCCATCCATCCATGCACTCCATTGCCCACCTGCTCGGCCTTCTTGGTGTCCTCCTCTTTGTCCTTCCCGCCCTCCTTGTCCTTCTCTTTGTTGCCCTTCGACGCATCTGCACACACACACACACACACACAGACAACACACACGCCATGCTGTCGTGTATCTCTTTGCAACCACTGTGTGTATGTGTCTGTCTGTCTGTCTACCATTGGCAAAGAATCTCGCTCCAGCACCGACACCACATCTCGCCTGCCATGGCGCGTACGGCGCACTCGGCGCACCCAGCCTCCAATCACCACAGTCAGCAACACGGTGATGCAGCCACCAAGAAGACACTCGCCTGTCGGCAGCATGGCCGATGGTGCTACTGCAGACGCCTCTCTGCCTCATCAGCACGGCTGCAGCGAGTGTGGGCGACCGCCATCTCATCGCAGAGGTCGTAGACAGGGAGGGGAGGGAGGGGAGGGGCGCCTGAGGGGGTGGGACGGATGGAGGACGGTGCAGCAGGGATGAACGCATGATGCTCATTCACGGGATCTACGCAGGAGCAGAGGGATCGGATTGGACGCGCATTTGCCGGAAAACGACTAGAGCATCGTGGGACGTGAAAGCTCTGCAGACGTGGGGGAGCTGGTGGTCAGCATCATGTGACGAGCAGCTCTTGATCCATCCATTCGGGATCTGGCTGCTTGCCGTGAGTGAAGATGGCGTCAAATCGTGCCGTGGACACCGTTCGGGATGCCTTCCACTGGGCGCTGCTCGCGTCAACCATCACGCCAGCAACGCAGGGCGGACTCATGCTGGCGGCTGTTACTATGCCGGTGGCGTACATGCGCACAGGTGAATGAGACGACGAGAAGCGAAGATGCGCGTGTGTGTTGTTGCTTGCATGGGTGTGTGTGTGTGTGTTGTGGTTTGGTGTGGGGATGCAGGCATGTATGGCGTGTACCTGTCGGCGGTGCTATCGGTGATGGCGTCATGGGCTGTGGGATGCTTCCTGGTCACTCGATGCCTCTGTGTCACGAGTACGCCACATCGACCCGACCGACCAGCCTATCCTTCCCACGTGTGTGTGTCTGTGGGCCATTTCCGTCTGTCTGTGTGTGTGTGTGTGTGTGTGTGCGTGTGTGTGTGTGTGTGTGTGTGTGTGTGTGCAGAGCGCTCATATGTCTACGCATTCCCATGGATGGTGACGCAGCTGAGGCGGCGGTTCTTCGTCCCGCTGGCTGTGGCTGGGTCGTCTCTGCTGGCCGCGTCGTCGGCCATGTGCGCACTCAAGGGCCGGGAGCTCGACGCCTTTGACGCGCTCTTCGCCACATGCATCACGTGGGCGTCAGAGAAAGAGAGAGAGAGAGAGAGAGAGGGAGAGATGCTTCCAGTCACAGCGCTGTGTGCGTGTGTGTGTGTGTGTGTGTTTGTCAGGCTGTGTTGCTGCTGCCGGTTCGTGTGTCGCCGTCAGTACTGCATCGTGTGGCCTCCCAATGTGGCGCCCCTCCCCCCTCCCCACGACCTCATCAGACGGGCAAATTGGCGAACGGCCAAGAACACACAACCGGTGCGCTATTTCGACACTTGACGGCGTGTGTCTGCATTCCTTATGCCCTCTCTCTTTGTGTGGTAGGCGATCGCCGTGACATTGGTGGCATTGGGGATCTGCGTGTTGGTCGCCCTGCTGCTGGCGATTTTCTCGCGCAGATCCCTCTCTGGGCTCTTCGAAACACTCGCCATGCACACGTGGGCGGGCGAGGGAGTGGACGGGGCCACACGCCGACATACAGACACACAGACACACAGACACACAGACATACAGACACATGGATGGCCTGTGTGTGCGTGTGTGTGTGTGTGTGGGTGTGTGTCTGTGTGTGTGATTGTTAACTAACACAAGTGTGGTCAACTCTTGTCTGAGGGGCGTGCGGCTCGCGCTGACGGTGGGGTTCCACGGCCACTCGCCGCCCATCTTGCAGCCCCCCACCCCGCAGCCAGAAGCCTTTTCCCTCCTTGCGGCAGCTATCAATTTTCTTGCAAGGTGGGAGCTTGGGTGGGTCGGTGAGACGCACCCGACGTGTGTGTGTGTGTGTGTGTGTTGTAGGTTGGTGTGTTGCGTGTTGTGTGGGTCGGTGCTGTGCCTGACGTGCGAGCTGCACACGGATGCCTTGCAAGACGCCATAGGCACTGTCAGTCTGATGGATGGATGGATCGATGGATGGATGGATGGGGCGCATATCTCTCTCTGTCTGTGCGCTCATGTGTGTGTGCCTGGGTGTGTAGACTCTTGGCATGACGCCATCCATTCTCGCGAGCTATCTGGCGCTGCCGCCCGATGACGTCGGCAGGGTGGGTGAGCACACAGATTCTTCAGCAGACAGGCAGGCAGACAGACAGACATTGCTCTGTACGTGTGTGTCAGTATCTGGCGGCGAACCTGATGGTGCGTCTGGTCATGGGCGGCCCCCCATCTCTGCCCAAAAGTCAGCCCATCCCACCACACACACACACACACCAATCAGGCCATCCCTTTCTCTCTCTCTCTCTCTCTGTGTGTGTGTGTATGCGTCTGGCTCTTTCTCCGAGTACAGACACGCCCGTGTTGCATCACACAAGCCGCCCCACCCTCTTGACCATGACCAACACCCACCCAATGGCCGCCCAGTACGTCACTTTCTCGCCCCCACTGAGGCCGCGACCATCGTCCCTGACCTCCGCAGTCATCGACAGCCAATGGTGCCCGGCAGCCATCCGCTCTCTCTTGCTGGGCTGGGGAGGGGGAGGGGGCGCTGTGACGTGCTACGCGGCCAATGCAGGGCTGGAGGGGGGCTTTGTGCTGAATACTTGGGTTTATGACGTCTTCCACCGAGAGAGCAACATGGTGACAGAAAGAGAGAGAGACACACACACGGATGGATGGATGGATGTGTGATGTGCTGTGTTGTGTTGTGTGGATGCATGTCAGGTGTGGCGGACGTACTCTGAGGGCAGCGTGTCGCTCCTGCGGTCCCTCTACCTCTCCCTGGCCCATCTGCACATCCACCTGACGAGCAAACCCAAGCCCCTCCCCCCACCGGCCCCCTACACCCCCAGTCGCCCAGCCACCCCCACAGCCACGCCCTTGCTGTGGGGCATCGGTCTCGCGGACGTCATCGACATGATCCAGGCGCTTATCGTGATCACGCGAGACGGCCTGTTGGACCTCTGGCGGGCTGTGTACATGCCCCCGACGCCCCCATCTGCGGTGGTGGGCATGGCGCTTATGGCTGAGGGAGAGAGAGATGGCCGACAAGGACAACAAGAGCAGCAGCCGAGGCCCGCTGCCGGTGGTGGTGGTGTGGACCTGGACCCCTTCTTCAAATGCATCGCTCTCTCGGCGGCCCCAGTGAGCGGCAAGGAAGGGCCCGTCCCCCTCCCCTACCCCCACGCAGCCACACACATGACCGACACCCATCCCCCCATGCATCTCCATCCCACATCCCTCTCTGCCCCATACAAGCGCCCCACTCAGTCGTCCGACGACCGCCAGAAGCATCGGGTCACCCTGACGGCCAGCCGGACGACCACGAGCGCTTCGTCGTCTTACCTGAAGGATGTGGGCGCGAGTGACGACGGCTGTTCTGCTGGTGAGGGGATGGGCTGGCTGCGGTGGGCGCGACGCAGAGGGCGGCAGGGGGAGTGGAGGCGGGAGACGATGCACATGCAGGTACGTGTGTGTGGGTGGGGGGTGGGGGGGAGGGATGGATGTGTTGTGTCGTCTGTCGTCTGTCGGGTGGCAGGAGTCGATTGTGGGAACGATTCCCTTGGCCCTGATGCACCTCAGGGGTACGTTGGTTGCTCAGATGTATACAAACAAAGTGTCACAAACACACACACAGACAGTGTGTGTGTGTGTGTGTGTGAAGGCATGACAGAGTGGGTGTGTCTGTCGTACGATATCGACACATGTGGCATGGCGCAGCAGCACTCATCCCTGCAGCAACTCGTCGTCGAGAACGTAAGCCACTCACTCCTGACCCCCCCACACAGACATTCCCACTGCACACTGTCTGTTGTCCAACTGTCTGTCCCATTCATTTATCAGCTTCGTTTGCTCCGCGCCTGTCACTCCCTGCTGGCGCCCAGCCGCCTGGAGCACCTCGACCGCACCACCACCGCACACTGCCGCACACTCCACACAGGTTAATACCTTAACCCCAATGCCCTCCCCTCCCTCCTCTATGTGTATGTGTGTGGGTGTCTGTGTGCAGAGCTGGAGCTGTGTCTGGGCCGTCTGCTGGCGACGTTTGCTCCCTGTGGGTCGGCGAGGGGCGACAGCGAGTGTTTCTCGTCGATCCCGTGGTACCTCATGGACGACTTCGAAGAGGCACGGGCGAACCTGCAGGCATGTCGGCGGCAGTGACTGAGGGTGTGCAGTGTGGAGGCAGCCAGCCAGGCAGCCGGGCCAGGTATCTCTCTCTTCTCGGTATGCCTGTGGGTGGTTGGTGGCTAGGTGGGTGGTCCAATGGACAGATGAGCGCGTGTGCGTGTGCGTCTGTGCGTCTGTGTCCGTGTGTGTGTCTGTGTGTTTCTGTATTTGTCGGCAGCCATCTGACGGGTGATTAGCTCACATGCAGAGGTGTGTGTGTGTGTGTCTGTGTGTGTGGATTGAGTGACTTACTACTTGAAGAGCTCTTGCGTGTCCCCAGGCCACACACGGGGGAGGTCATCCACGCATGCAGCCAGCCAGACAGCCAGCCAGCCAGACTGGAGCTCACACTACTCTAATCCATCCATCCATCCATCAGCAGCTCGAGCTCGAGCAGCAGCTACACATGCATCCTCCATCCCATCTACACGTACCCGCCGCTACATATGGCCACTTGCTGCAGGCCGTGCTACCACCCCATGTGCGGCAGACATCTATCTATCTTTCAGCCGCCCGCCACGCTTTGGTTGCCCTCGTTTGCACGAGGCTTGTCGCGGTCGCTCTCCTCAGACGGACTGCGCCGCAGCAACGGCCGGATGGTCAAACACGCCAAACTGACACACACACACACACACACAGAGAGAGAGAGAGAGAGAGATAGAGAGAGAGGGGACAGACAAATGACACGTATTTGTGTGGGTGTGTATGTGCGTGGCTGTGGGTGTGGCGAACACTCACCGCCTGTTGGTGTCCTCCAGCTGCATGACGCGCTGCATGAGTTCATCCTTCTCCTGCTGGTGCTGCTGCTCCATCCGCGCCATCTCGCGACGCAGCATGTCCACCAACGCACTTGACATACACACACACACAGAAACACACACACATACACACAGAGAGAGAGATGGGTACTTGCGTATGCGTGTGTCTGTCTGTGTGGGTAGGTAGCTGCGCACCTCTCACTGGCGGCGGCGTATGCGTCGTCGTGGAAGGAGGGCGGGGGCCGGCAGTAGGCCTCGCCGTAGTACTGGTCCTGGTACGAGCCATACCCATACATGTCGCCCCCAAACATGGCCAACGGCCTGCAGCATGGGCATCACACAACACACCAACCAGTAAATGAACTCACAGAGAGAGGAAGACAGAGGAAGTGGTCACATCTCGTGCTCGTAGCCCGGAGGAGGCGGTGGTGGTGGTGGCGGTGGTGGCGGTGGCGGCATGGGCTGCTGCCCCATCATGTGGATGGACGACACGCCAGAATCCGCACACGACAGCCCAATGCCACCCCTGCACGACACACGACACCAAGCCAAAAAAAGGCCATCCATCCATGCATCCATCCATCCATCGCACTTACTGTCCAACGAGCGATGGTGCGGCCGACACGGGGCGCGTGCTGCCCCCACACTTGATGATGTCGTCGTATCCCGCCACTATGTCCATGTATCCCCCCTGCCCCTCGCCGCCCTCGCCGCCCTCGCCGCCCTCGCCCTCGTCCGCATCATAGAAGGGGGGCGAGTCGTCCAGGTCCTTGGTGGTGGGATTTTTGCCGTTGTGGTTGGTGTGGTTGGTGGTGGTGGTGGTGGTGATGGCGCCCTTCTTGACCCAGCCTTGTGTGGCGTTGGTCATGAAGATGGGCGTGGTCTGCATCAGCTTGGAAGATGACGACACGTCCCGACCGCGCAACTCCTCAACGCCGTGCGCAAAGGCACACTGCAGTCACCGCACCAATGAAGGCACACACACACACACACACACACAAAGATGCCATGGGGCGTTTTCCCATCCCTCCGCTGCTCTCTCTCTTTCTCTCTCTGTGTGGATGCTCTGGTGTGGTGTGGGTGAGGGCATAACACGTACCTTGACCCCGAATCTGCATTTGCCCTCCTGCCAGTTCTGGCACAGCTCCGTCTTGTACATGCTCCCGTACATCCTCGCCTTCCGCGCGCAACGCCTGCAGCCAGCCATTGACCACACACACACACACACACACACACAAGAAGATCTCTCGAGATCTGTCCTCTGGATGGATGGATGGATGGATGGACGGACAGGTGCGATGGCATGGCCAGATGTTCTCGGCAGTAGCTGTTTTCACACACACAATACAACGTACGTGCTGCTGCTGCTCTCGGCTTTCTCTCTCCTCCTTCTTGAACCAGGTCCGTCAGCAAACATCGTTCATCAGCACCCGCTACGAACCTGTTGGTAGGATCCCAGATGTGACCGCGGGAACAGGCTATCCTGGCCAACGCGTGTGTGTTTACGTAGGCCATCCCTCTTTTCGAAGGTTATTGAGGTGTTTTTGCGCGAGATCTAAGCGCCTGAGCCCCTCCTAAGGCCATCTGCAGCTGACGGCAGCCACCCGACAGGCGCATCTCTGTCCACCCCTCCCTCTCTACCCGTGGGCACAAAGGCATCTGTGTTGTGTGTGTGGTGATGTCGGGCAAAGGCAAGGGCGGCCGCGGCAAGACCGCCGAGAAGACCAAGAAGGTCAGCACGGCAGATGGAGGGATGGATGGATGAATGAATGAATGGATGGATGGGTGGATGGATGGATGGGCACCATGGATCTGTTGTGATGTGTGGTGTGATGTGGTGTGGTGTGGTGTGTTGGCGCCCTTCCTTGGTTCGTTCGTTCTGCAGGTGAGCCAGTCGGTGCGTGCGGGTCTGCAGTTCCCCGTGGCGCGCATCGCCCGCAACCTCAAGAAGGGCCGCTACGCCAAGCGTGTGGCCAAAGGCGCACCCGTCTACCTCGCCGCCGTGCTCGAGTATCTGTGTGCTGAGGTCCTCGAATTGGCCGGCAACGCCGCCCGCGACCACAAGAAGGTCAGAGGGGGACAGAGAGGGTGGATGGATGGATGGATGGAGGGATGGAGGGGTGTGAGAGGTGTGTGTGTGTGTGTGTGTCAGAGTCGCATCACGCCCCGCCACCTGATGTTGGCCATCAAGAACGACGAGGAGCTCGCCGAGTACATGAAGGGCGTGACCATCTCCATGGGCGGCGTACTGCCCAACATACACTCAGTCCTCCTGCCCAAGAAGTAAGCACACACACACCACACACAGGGAGATTCATGGGCTGAGGAGACGCACACAAATCGGGGGGTGCCTTCTGTTGTGGTGTGTTTATGTGTGTGTGTGCAGGTCTAAGGCCAAGGCTAGGAAGGATGCAGAGGCCGCCAACAACGAGGAGTGAACCGACACACACCACAACACACCACACCACATAATACGACACAGTACGAAGACAACACATCACAACGGAACGAGCGGCCTCACCCATACGGACACACACACACACACACACACACACAAACACATGGACACACATACACGAGCCGGGGGCGGGTAGATCTGTATGTCGGCTGACGGGCTGGCTTTCTCTCTCTCTCTCTCTCTCTTGTCTTGCCTGCGGCCGTGCGGCCACACACACGCATACACACAGAGGGGGCGTAGCGGCGATTTTGCTGACAGCCACCGACCCATACACACATACACACATACACACATACACGTGCTCACCTGTACATACCATGCATGTGTGTGTGTGTGTGTGTGTGTGGCCGTCGTCCCTCTGGCTGACCTCCTCTCTCTTCCCGCGTCCGGCTGGCTGGCTGGCTGCCCTCTGTATCTCTCTCCCCCACATTTTTGGTGTTGATGGCCGGTTTTCCCACCCATCGTCCACACATGTCCACACACCTATGAATGCTTCTCTTCTCTCTCCTCCCCTTGAAAGCACAGACAGACAGACAGACAGACAGACAGACATCCCACATCTGTGCAGCCGACACACGCCATCTTGTTGGCCGGTAGCTCCGTCCTTTCCATGCCACCATATTCATGTCTGCATGTTTCCATGGGATGTCTGCATGCATTGTGTCGGTGAGTGAGTGAGTGCATGAGTGTAATTAATCAATTGGTTGTGCAGATGGCTATCGGGTGAAGTGCCTAGGTCAATTCCTGTGCTTGTCTGCGTGGATGGATGGATGGATGGACGAATCGCACCGTGACGGACAGCTCCATGTGCGCGTGCATGTGTCAGTGTGACTCTTGTGTGTGCCTGCAGTGCATCTTGCATGTTCGTGCGCATGTATGTGTGAGTGTGATCTCGTTGCACGTATTCCAGCAGCCACAGTTCAATGCACTAATACGCACGCAGTTGGTCGACTGACTCCTTGCATACCACACACACACACACACGCATCCACAGACAGACAGAGAGAGAGGCAGACACAGACAAGTGATAGCCCCACCCACCCATAGACACAACACGCCCACGACTCAGGCACGCAGGCAGTTCCATCGGTCGCCCAGTGCCGCGTTCGGCAGTGTGGCCGCAGAGCCGAACGCTGTAGACACACGGGAGGAAACAGGGAGGTGAATGGATGGATGTCAGCTGCATTCGTCAGGCTGTCTGCTTCGACTTACGACCGTAGAGGAGGATGGCGGCCATCGTGATGACGCCATAAGTGGACAGCCATGTTGTGGTACGTCCCACAGACAAACAACACATTGAGGATTGCCAGCAGAGGGCCTCCCGCTGCAAACAAAGCACCAAACGATGGCAAAGATGGATGGCAACTCACTGCAAAGAGTGTCTTCGCAGCTCGCCTGCTTACCGATGCCGCACATGGCGACGATGCCGGCACATAAACTGACGTCAGGCATCAGGACAATCACACTCGCTCCCAAGGCCACCATCCATAAACCAGCAAGACTCCACGCACAAACACAACAACCAACCATCGCCCCATTTGTTTGCAGCAGCATCTCCCAGTAGAAGCGACCCTTGCCAAACACATCCGGGAGATAAAATCTCAGCAGACAACAAATCAAACTGATCATGTGCCCACCTCCCTCAGTGCTCTACCATACAGAAAAACTACCGCATCCCCTCTATCTATGACAGAAATACTGAGCGAGCCAGAGGCGAAGTTGGTGAGTGCAAGCAACATTGGCTCGCCACGACTGCCACCTCCCTCACCACTCACTCTATTTATACCCTCAGACATGTCTGTCTGTCTATCGTGAGAAGAGACTGAAGATGATACCCCACGTTACGGCACGCCAGAAACGCTTGGCAGGTGAGTCCTCGTCCTCCGCAGCTGCAGCCACCAGGCAGGCAGGCAGGGAGGGAGGGAGGCAGGGAGGCAGGGAGGGAGGGAGACAAAGGGGACAGATCAGAACAGCACACAGAAATGCACGCATGAAAGTTACGAGTGCTGGTGTGTTTGTCATACGTCGTGGCGGTGGTGGGTAGATGATGAAGCGGACCGCCTTCTTGGGGGTCTCTCCCCGACCTGATCAGTGGACATCAGAAATACCAACACACCAATCACACACAGTGATTTGTTAACTGACCTCTGACGACCTCCCGGACAGGCCATCTCGGATCAATGTTGCGCTTGAGGGACACCTCAGGGATTATTCTACCCTGACGCGCCCGCACGTGGCCTTTCACGCTCAACGGGCACCTCTCGTTTGCCACCTCCCCGAACTCGTCCATCGTCATGCCCTCCGTCAGAGGGACGTCGAACACGCGGCCGCATTGTGTGCCATCTTGCTCGAAGGCTTGGGCAAACAGGCAGTCCTCTGCAGGGCTCCCCTGCTGATCTTTCTTCGGCTTGCTGCTGGGGAAGCCTGTGCGGAACTGCTGCATAGCTTGGGAGGTGGCCGGGAGGATGGATGGGTCTTTGAGTTGGGAGAGAGGAAGCTGCAGGCGGCTGGTCGAGGCGCGACGACGGAGGGAGGGCGGGCTCACCACGAATGACGGAACCTCCCCAGCCTGCATGGCACACACACATGGCACACACACATCACAGTGATGCTACGAAATGTGTGCGTCTGATCACCTTGTTGCTGGCGCCCAGGGAAGGCACGAATAGCAGAATAGCCCACATCGACATCATCAGGGAATGGTTTGTTGAACCCTGTAGCCCAGCACAAACCCTTGACCCGACGAGGGCGTGAAGGATGGATGAGCTTTTGCGAGAGTGTGTGCGGCAAGATGTTCTATCTCGCTTGCGCAAGTCTTTTCCAACCACATTCAAGGTGAGGTTATGAACAGATCAGCTCGAGGCAGATCTTGGCACGGGAGCTCACGATGGGCTGACATTGCCTGTGTCCACAGACTCACCTGGGCATCCCTCCCGTCAGCCCCGAATCGTTCAATGCACTCATTTTCGAGGTGCTTGCGCACTCATCGGTCACAGGGGGCAGTGACCGGAATGAAGAGCTGCTGCCGGGCTATGAGTTGACAGTGGCCGATGACAGCCCTTCACTCAGGAATGCCGTATGGCAGGTATGTGGGACAGCAGGAACTCACTCACATTGAATGTCACGTCTGTCACGTCTGTCTGTTGCTCCATGGCGCATCCGGTGTTTTTCAGAGGTGTGCAGAGCGGGAACAAGTCCGTCGATGCATTCCTGGCGGCAGCCAACGGGTTCCTACAGGATGAGGGGCACATGAAGGAGCTGAGGACGATGATCGATCGTGCCCGACAAAGCGACGCCGCCAATCCGTTGGTAGGACGACGGCAGGAGGCAGGAGGTCACACGCACACACACACACACGAACACACACATATGATGTTTTGGCAGCACGTCCATCTCGCCTTCGTCACCCAGCTGGCCGCCCGACTCACCCGCCTCACAAGAATCACCCTCCAGTACCCTGACGGCTTCATCTGCTGGTGTTTCGACGTCTTTGTGGCCATCATCGAGGGCCACATCGCCGGCCGACGGGCAGCCAACCTGGGCGGCGGGACGCTGCACACCATCACCATCAAAGAGGGGGTTCGGCTGACCGGCACGGCGAGACTTGCGAGGCTGCATTCACCCCTCCCCACTCGTCTCGACCCGCCCCCCACTCTTGACGCACTCACCACTGTTGCCGGCCTGTGGAGTGGTACTTACTGTGAGGTGCTGGCCAACCGACGCTGGCTGATGCCCTCACTCGCCGTCGTGCGGCAGTGGGGATGGGAAGCCGATAGACTGGGCCGCTTCATCAGCTCGTCCCCCTCCCTGCGGTGCGTGGACGGCAGCTTTAGGGGTTAGGGGTGGGCAGGTGTGTTTGAGGGCATCCCTGCGGCAGGTGTTGGGCAGCAGGGGGGGCCACTCGCTCAGCTGGAGAGCATCGGCACCATCGAGATCGATGACTGGGACCATCGGTCGCGGGAGGGCATCGAGCGGCTTGAGGTGAAGACAAAGGACGCACGTGTGCAGCAGGGCGTGGGGGTTGGCTCATGATGTCCTTCCTGTATCTGTGTCTTGTTGCCTTCAGGAAGTGCTCGTTGCGCGGGGCTGCCGACAGTCACTCAATCAGCTGCACGTGGACCTTCATGGCGCCCACGTCGGCCGCCGCACCTTGCCCGTCTTGCTGGCCCTGGACCGGCTGGTCGGCGCGTGCTGCCGACAGGACGCCCCACTCACCACCGCCCCTCACTTTACCCCCTTCGACCTCTCTCTCTTCTACGGCAACGAGTTCCCCATCCGCCCGTCGCCCTCATTCAAGACCATGCTGCAGCAGCTGGCCCGGCAGGCCACATCGGTGGAGTACATCTTCATCCAGGACGGCCTCACCGACCCACACACCAACCCCAGCCCGTCGGCCATCGACATTGCGTCCAGCCTCTCATTCGACGAGGCCAGGGTGGTGGAGGTCAAGAATGCCCGTGGCTTCGATCCCCCACTCGACACCCCCTCGCCCCACCCCACCATCATCACCCACCTCAAGCCGTTCCCGAGAGCCTCAGGACTGCATGTCTGGGACAAATTGGGTGGTGCAGCTGGCCAGCTGCTGGCCAGCAAGATGCCCAAGAAGGTGTGGCGGGTGGAGATTTACAGGGTGCCGGGTGCTGAGAAGGTGGGCGTGTTGGCCGCGCTGGGGAGGGACAGGGAGAGGGAGGTGGGTGCGGTAGACATGAGGGAGATCGGGGTCGACCAGCTAGCGGGGGCGGTCGGCAGATTGCCGACGATCAAGACGCTGGAGCTCATCACGACACGTACGTTGAGAAGAGAAGAAGCGTGTCCGTCCGTCCTCATTTCCGCTTTGTGTGTGTTTCCCCTCTTTAGTGCCCGATGATGCGGAGGATGCGGGCAGCCTCGTCCGCACCGGCCTCTCGTCGGTGATCCCGCACATCATGCAGTGGCTGAGTGTGAGGGTCCGCGACACCGCCAATGAGCAGCATGATTCCATCATGGCCTCCCTCCCTGACGGCACCAACATCGGTGCCTTGAGCATCACACGTGTCGGCCGTGCCGGGGGCGACACATGGGTGTCGATGACTGCACTTCCCACTGCCAGAAAGGTGAGGGAATGACGCTCATTCACACAAAGGTCTGATTGTGTGCCCATGTTCGTGTCTCCTCTGCGTGTGTGTATGGCGGTGTCTGTCAGGCTGGCTGCCGTGTGTGGTGGATCATTCATAGCGGACGGGCAGTGGGCCATTCTTAGCTGACGACATCCATGAGGTGCTGCCTAGCATAGCCTAGCTAAGTGTGTGTGTGTGTGTGTGTGACTGACTGGGTAGCTGTACAGATTGACGGAATGGGGCTGGCTGATGCTGACGTGTGAATGACCGTTGGCAGAGAGAGGGATGACTCACTCACTCAGTCGTCTGCCGAACTGCCTGTCTGTCTGTCTCGCTCGTTTGTTCCTTTCTGTTGTCTGGGCTCTTCCTCTCCCTCCCTCACTCAGTTCCCCTCATTGGTTGGGATGAGAGGACGGACAGCACAGAGGCGAGGCTCACACGGTGGGTGGGCCACTCGGCGAGCCCAAACACAGACAGACAGACAGCCAGACAGACAGCCAGACAGCCGGACAGACAGAGATAGTATGTGTAGGTATGCTGGATGCATTGGTGACTTGATACACTGTGTGCTGTGGTGTCAATGTCTGTATGTGTGTGGATGACGAAAGAAGCTCAAGTCGGCCATTCGCCCACCACCCAAAGACACTATTGAGTCCACGAAAACAAGAAGCGCTCTAGAATACACTGCACCAACGCAGCACAAACACCGTTGCCTAGGTCAGTTCCCATGACATGATGGACGGCTTCACGTGTGGCTATGAGTGTGTGTGTTTCTGTGTGACTCGTTTTAAAGCGAACTTGGTAGCCACCGCTTGAACCACTTAAGTACTCACGCAAATGCACCCATGGCATGGTCATCGGACAGACACACGAAGTCAATGCATCCATCGCAAGTCAATGCATCCCGACATGCATCCTCCTCTATTTGCCATTGCCGGTAAGAGGCATAGAAAGGCACACAGGCAGGCACACCCACCCTCCCTTTCTACGATTGAGCAGTGCACATGAAGGCATTCGCGACACAACGCACCCAGCCAGCCAGGAGGCATCAATGCTCCTCGATCGCATCCACTACGCGACTGAGGGAAGACGACTAAATGAGCAAAAACTGACTGATACGTTCGTATGCACAGCACACCGACTGACTGACTGACTGACGGCATAGATGCGTGTGTGCAGGAGATGGTGGCTCATGGCGACGATGCCGGCCCATTTGACCTCGCTCACTCCCCAAGGCCACCAGCCATAACACAGCCAACACAACAAACAAACATCGTTTCTCTGTCTGCTTGGAAGCTCTCCCATTGAGTAACAGCAGTGCCCAATAGAAGCTCACCTTGGCCGGCACATCAGGGAGATAAACACATCAGCCGACGCCACGGCATCCATCACCGGGTAGCTGCCAGGGAGCTGTGCAATGGCCTCCTTGTGTCACACCCATCGTCATGGACGCAGGAAGACAGGCTGGGGCTGGGATCCTGGTCGCCGGCAGCAACACACACTCGACGTGGCGGCGGTTGCTGGGAGGGACACACACAGCCGTCGACGGTGCTGCCTTCGTCCGTGTCGAACGCATGACTAATGACAGATCTCGATGGCATAGCTCTTGTTGGTGCTGATGGGCGAATGGCAATGTATTATGGCATCGATGCCGTCGAGGGCCGGGGAGGCTGACCGCGGGGCTACCGAGAGGGGCGAGAGGAGGACATGCTGAGGTCTCATCAGCTAACTGGCCGCAGAGCCGAACGCTGTATGGAAACTGATGAGAAACAGCGAGGTGGCCGGCTGGATGGATTATCGGTCTGCCTGGGTCGACTGACGAGCGTAGAGCGGGATGACGCCAACTGCACAGCCACGTTTCATACACAACAGCGTGTTTCGCTTTTTGCCTGCCTACCGATGACGATGCCGGCCCATAACTTGACGTCAGGCATCAGAACAGTCACTCTCGCTCCTCCCAAGGCCACCATCCATAAACCAGCCAACACTGACGGACAAACACAGCGAACCAAACAAACATCGCTTCTCTGTCTGCTTGCAGGCTCTCTCTCTGAGTGACTCTAGCACACAGCAGTACCCAATAGAAGCGCGTCTTGGCCGGCACATCAGGGAGATAAACACATCAGCCGAAGCTGCCTGCCCCACACGGACGCTGCGTGACGGCCTCCTTGTCACACCCATCGTCATGGACAGGAAGACGGCCTGGAGCTGGGTGGGCAAATGCTCGGAAGAACACACGAAGCCGTCGATGCCGCTGCTTGAATCCACACCGTTGCTACTGCGTGTGGCCAGGTCGAGCAGATGAATAATGATAGATCTCGATGGCATAGCTGCTGTTGATCCTATTGGGCGAATGGCATCGATGCCATCGAGGGCCGGGGAGGCTGGCCTGGGCTGCCGAGAGGGGCGAGAGGAGGACATGCTGATGCAGATCTCGCCGAGAGATGAACCATAACCTCTCAGCCGATAATCGGTACTCTCTCAGGCACCCTCCCATGCGGTCCCATCCGCCAAAGACGAAAGCAGTATTCCGTTGCACTTTTGAGCTCGCACATTCGCGTTGTTGGAAGGCCAGGGGAACGCGAAGCAGCCTTGTGCAGCATCGAGGGGCGGCCGAGCTTCCTTTCTCCGCCTTCTGCGCCTCAAATCGATGAGTTGACAACTGAGTTGACTGAGAAGCATCCTCGCGTCTGTGCTTCCTGAGGTGCGCCAGAAGGGACAGAGAGAAGGCCAATTCGCCATCGGTGCCGCCCTCATGTGCTCTGTGTGTTTGTGTGTCAGGAAGGGACCGAGAGCATCGCTTATTAGCTGCGTCCTCAGAGAAGGCCTTGGAGTTCTCATCGCAGCGGACGGCAGAGAGAGCAGCCGCTGAGTCAGATCTACAGCCATGGAGGACGGTAGACAGGTGAGGCGCATCACAGCGCCGCTTGCAATCGATGGCGCCTGTCATCTGAGGGGATGTCTGTGTGCGTTGGGTGTGTGGGTGCAGGTCAAGAGGTCTCGCCCTAGGACCGACGTACCGGCAGCGTCTTCATCGGCTGCAGCTGCTGCGTCTGGTGGTGGTGGTGGTAGTGGTGCTGACAGCGATGAGGAGCGACAGCGTCGGGCTGAGAGGGAAAGACGCTTCTGGGGGGATGCACCTGTGAGCCAACCACACGCACAAGAGGATACACACCCTGATGGGTATTCACATCTCTTGCCGTCCCGTGTGCCGTGCTGTATGGCTGTGTGCAGCTCGGTCTCCTTAGCATCGTCATGGCCTTCCTTCCAATCCACCTGCTGATGCAGCTGCAGCTGCCGCCCCTGACGTGGCAGCTCACCGCCCGCAAACAGCACCACCTCACCATCAGCGCAGAAGACCAAGTCGAGCGGTCGTTTTGGCAGAGGACCACCATCGATTTGGTCAGGGAATGGGCCACATATCTCAGGCAGCTCACGTCCATCACCCTCCAATACCCTGACGGCTTCCCGCGCTGGTGTTTCGACGTCTTTGTGGCCATCATCGAGGGCCACATTGCCGGCCGACGGGCAGCCAACATCCAAGAAGGGACACTGCAGACCATCACCTTCCAAGAGGGGTTTTGGCTGACCGGCGCGGCGATGCAGACCCTCTCGAGGACAGATCCGCCCCTCCCCGCTCTTCTCGACCCGCCCCCCACCCTCGACGCACTCGAGACCATCGCCGGCCTGACCAACGACCATCGGCAGTTGGCCGACCGACGCTGGCGGATGCCCTCACTCGCCACCGTGCGGCAGTGTGGGTGTTGGCAGTGCGGGTGCTGGAACGCTGACAGATTGGGCCAGTTCATCAGCTCGTCCCGCTCCCTGCGGCGTGTGGAAGGCAGCTTTGAGGGTGATGAGTGGGCGGATGTATTCGAGCACGTCCCTGCGGCACCTGCTGGGCAGCAGGGAGAGCTACTTAGCAACTTGGAGGGCATCGGCACCATCCTGGTCGAAGGCGACGATCCAGAGGGCATCGAGCGGCTTCAGGTGACTACAACGCACACATGTGTACAGCAGCGCCTGTGGGTTGGTTCATGATGCCCTTCCTGTATATGTGTGTGTTCTTGCCTTCAGGAAGTGCTCGTTGCGCGGGGCTGCCGACAGTCACTCAAGCAGCTGCACGTGGACTTTGGTGTCTCCTATTACATCTTGCGCCTCAACTTGCCCGTGCTGCTGGCCCTGGACCGACTGCTCGGCACATGCTGCCGACCAGACGCCGACCTCAACTTCGAGTCCCCACACGCTTCATTTGACCTCTCCATCTTCTACCACCCCGACTTCCCCACCCACCCGTCACCCTCATTCAAGACCATGATCCAGCAGCTGGCACAGCAGGCCAGATCGGTGAAGTACATCTTCACCCAGGACGGTCTCGCCGACCCGCACACCGACCCGAGCCAATCGGCCATCGACATTGCGTCCAGCCTCTCATTCGACGAAGCCGTGTGGGCTGAGGTCGAAGCCTACTTCGACCCCCCGGCCGACACCCCATCGCCCCACCCGGCCATCATTACCCACCTACAGCCCTTCCCAACCGAGATCTCAGGGCTGAATGTCTGGAGCAAATTGGGTGGTGCAGCCGGGCGGCTGCTGGCCGTCAAGATGCCCAAGAAGGTGCCGGTGGTGTACATCTACGATGTGTCGGGTGCTGAGGAGAGGTTGGGCATGTTGGCGGCGCTGGGGAGGGAGAGGGAGGTGGGTACTGTGCACATGAGGCAGGTCGGGATCGACCAGCTGGTGGGGGCGGCCGACGAATTGCCGACGATCCAGGCACTAAAGTTCATCACGACACGTACGCCGAGAGAAGAGGACATTGTGTTCATCCGTCCTCATTTTTGCCTTGTGTGTGTTCCCTCCCCTTCAGTGCCCGATGATGTGGAGGATGCCGGCAGCTTCGTCCGCGCCGGCCTCTCATCGGCTGTCCCGCACATCAGGGGCCTCCAGGGCGTGACTCTGACGGTCGACAGGACGACAGCTGAACAGCATGATTCCATCCTCGCCTCCGTTCCTGACGGCACCAACATCGAGGGCTTCAGCGTTACATGCATCAGACGTGATGGCTATGGGGCCACATACACGTATGTGACACTAACTGCAGCGCTCAATGCGTGAAGAGGAGGTAATAGCACTCATTCATTCACGCAAAGCTCGGTCTCATTGTGTGACCCATCGTGTGTAGCAGATCAAAGCAGACTAGCTGACGACATTCATCACATCAGTGCATGGAACCCCCTCTGTGTGTGCATGGCGTCTTCACTAAGTCAATTCATATTCACGTATCGAAAAAAAATCACACAACTCACCGACACACCCAGGCCTGGCCATTAATGACGCGCTCCTCACCTACTCAATCTATCAGCCTGCGTCAGAGAGTCTCGCACTCACCAAGAAATAAGTCAATGCACGACACCTCCATCCATCCATCCACAAGCACTGGTACTCACACCCTTCCTCCCTCCCTCATTTTATCTCTCGGTCTGCTCGCCGCCCTAGTAGTGCGTGGCTATTACGGCAGGGGCGTTCGTCTTACGGTATGGGGGATGGGAAACAAATGGGTGTGTGAGTGAGCGATTTGGGCTCTACACATCCATCCGAATCCCGCACGTCGGCTGCATTGCATTCATGAGTCTCCTTTCTGTGCGTATCAGTGCAGCCAGCTGCAGAGCGTCTTGTCATGAGCAGTGCATTCACATGCTCTGTTTATTTGCGCAACACAACACTCCCACAACGCACCCACCCAGCCAGGCATGAACGCTCATTGAAGACGACCATTTGAGCAAAAACTGACTGATACGTTCGTTTGCACAGCACACCGACTGACTGACTGACTGACTGAAGGCATAGCTGCAGAGTGCGGCATCCACACATTTAGGACACGCACACACACACGATCAGCCCATGCCCAATGGGAAAACATACACACTCGCCTTCACTGCACCGCCCCATCAATAAAGACATCAGACAAATGACTGCTCCCAAGTCCCCGAAAACGACACGCTGCCATCCTGATCAGTGGACACCCCGGCGGGGTGGGAATGACGATCGTCAAGGTGTCGATGGGCATCTCGAGCAGGGATGCCGCAGTGTGCGCCCTTCCTGATGCGGCCGTAGCAATAGCCGCCGACAGCAAACAGGTCCCACAGCCTCTCGAGCATATTCTCGTTCGGGAAAAGCCTTGGCTGGGCCACACGAGAGCAGACCAGGGTGAGCAGAGTGCGGTTCCCACACACACGAGCAGCATATGGCCGCATAGCCGAAGGCTGCACACACACGGGAGGAAACACAGGAGGGCCGGACGACAAAAGTATCCGTCTACCTGCGTCGACTTACGAGCGTAGAGGAGGATGGCGGCCATCGTGATGACGCCATACTTGCACGCCACAAGCTGCAAAGCTATGCTGTGGTACGTCCCACAGACAAACAGCACATTGAGGATTGCCAGCAGAGGGCCTCCCGCTGCAAACAAAGCACCAAACGATGGCAGAGATGGGATGGCAACTCACTGCAAAGAGTGTCTTCGCAGCTCGCCTGCTTACCGATGCCGCACATGGCGACGATGCCGGCACATAAATTGACGTCAGGCATCAGGACAATCACACTCGCTCCCAAGGCCGCTTTCCATCAAAGAGCCAAGACTGCAAGCACCAACACACCGAACAACCATCGCCCCTCTGCTTGCAGCAGCATCTCCCATTGGCTGACTCTCTTACACAGCAGTGCCCAGTAGAAGCGCACCTTGGCCGGCACATCAGGGAGATAAACACATCAGCCGACGCTGCTTGCCCCACACTCAAGGTCCGCCACAAGACTCATCACCAGGTAGCTGCCAGGGAGCTGTGTAATGGCCTCCCTGTCACACCCATCGTCATGCACGCAGGAAGACAGACTGGGGCTGGAGGCTTGGTCGCCGGCAGCAACACACACTCGACAGGACAGCGGTTGCTGGGAGGGACACACACAGCCGTCGACGGCGCTACCTTGCTGCTGCAGGCCAAGTCGAGCACATGAATAATGACAGATCTCGATGGCATAGCTCTTGTTGATGATGAGGGCGAATGGCATCGATGCCGTCGAGGGCCGGGGAGGCTGGCCGGGGCTGCCGAGAGGCGAGAAGAGAGACGTGCTGAGATCTCATTCAGAAGATGAACAATAACATCTCAGCCGATAATGGCGCGTCTAATATGCACCCTCCCGTCCACCCCTTTCGTCCCCAGTTTCACCAGCCTTTAAATTTTGAGCTCGCAGATCGCCCGCTGCTGCTACAGAGAGAAGAAGGGGAACGCAGGCAGCCTTGTGCATCATCGAGGGGCGGCCGAGGTTGCTTTCTGCGCCTTCGACGCCTCAAATCGATGAGTTGACAACTGAGTTGACTGAGAAGCATCCTGGCGTCTGTCCTTCCTGAGGTACGCCAGGGAGAGAGGGAGAGGGCCAATTGGCCATCGGTGCCGCCCTCATGTGCTGTGTGTGTTTGTATGTCAGGAAGGGATCAACGTGAGCACTGGTCAAGTAGCGGCCTCAGAGAAGGCCTTGGAGAGTTCTCATCGCAACGGAGGGCAGAGAGATCAGCCCTAGGATCAGCCGCTGAGTCAGATCTACAGCCATGGAGGACGGTAGACAGGTGAGGCGCATCACAGCACCGCTTGCAATCGATGGCGCCTGTCATCTGAGGGGATGTCTGTGTGCGTTGGGTGTGTGGGTGCAGGTTAAGAGGTCTCGCTTTAGGACCGACGCACCGGCAGCGTCTTCATCGGCTGCAGCTGCTGCGTCTGGTGGTGGCGGCGGCGGTGGTGGTGGTGGTGAGAGCGATGAGGAGCGGCAGCGAGGGGCAGAGAGGGATAGACGCTTCTGGGGGAATGCACCTGTGAGCCAACGACACGCACAAGAGGATACACACCCTGATGGGTATTCACATCTCTTGCCGTCCCGTGTGCCGTGCTGTGTGGCTGTGTGCAGCTCGGTCTCCTTAGCATCGTCATGGCCTTCCTTCCAATCCACCTGCTGATGCAGCTGCAGCTGCCGCCCCTGACGTGGCAGCTCACCGCCCGCAAACAGCACCACTTCACCATCAGCGCCGCCGACAAAGACGAGCGGTCGTTTTGGCAGAGGACCACCATCGACCTCGTCAAGGAATGGGCCACATACCTGAGAAAGCTGACGTGTGTCGTTCTTCACTGCCCCATCGGCTTTCCCCGCTGGTGTTTCGACGTCTTCGTGGCCGTCATCGAGGGCCACATTGCCGGCCGACGGGCAGCCAACCTCACCGGAGGGACACTGCACACCATCGCCATCAAAGAGCGGGTTCGGCTGACCGGCGCGGCTGGGCAGGCCGTCGCACGAACATACCCGCCCCTCCCAGCTCGTCTCAACCCGCCCCCAACCCTCGACGCACTCGAGACCATCGCCGGCCTGTGTGGCGGCCATTGGCAGTTGGCCTACCGACGCTGGGTGATGCCCTCACTCGCCACTGTGCAGCAGCACGAGGCATGGGGTGCCGACAGCCTGGGCCAGTTCATCAGCTCGTCCCGCTCCCTGCGGAGTGTGGACTCTGCCAGCTTTAGGGGTGAGGGGTGGGCGAGTGTGTTTGAGGGCATCCCTGCGGCAGGTGTTGGGCAGCAGGGAGGGCCACTCGCCCAGCTGGAGAGCATCGGCACCATCGTTCTCGAAGACGAGAATCATCGGGCGCGGGCGGGCATCGAGCGGCTTCAGGTAAACACAACGCACACACATGACAGGAGGGTGTGTGGGTTAGCTCATGATGTCCTTCCTGTATGTGCGTGTGTTCTTGCCTTCAGGAAGTGCTCGTGTCGCGGGGCTGTCGACAGTCACTCAAGCAGCTGCACGTGGAATTTGGTCCCTTCTACCGCATCGACCGCCGCATGTTGCCCGTGCTGCTGGCCCTGGACCGATTGGTCGGCACGTGCTGCCGACCAGACGCCCCTCTCACGCTCACCGCCACCAGCAATTTCGGCTTCGACCTCGCCATCTTCTACTGCACCGACTTCCCCACCCACCCGTCACCCTCATTCAAGACCATGCTCAAGCAGCTGGCGCAGCAGGCCACGTCGGTGAAGTACATCTTCACTCAGGACGGCCTCGCGGACCCGCACACCACCCCCATCCAATCGGCCATCGAGCTCGCATCCACACTCTCATTCGACAAAACCGAGACGGTGGAGGTCAAGGATTTCGGTGACTTCCACCCCACGGCCAACGCCCCATCGCCCCACCCCGCCATCATCAGCCACTTGCAGCCGTTCCCGAAAGCCTCAGAGCTGAATTTCGAGACCAGCCTGGGTGGTACTGCTGGCCAGCTGCTGGCCAGCAAGATGCCCAAGGAGCTGGGGAGGGTAAACATCTACGAGGTGTCGGGTGCTGAGGAGAAGGTGGGCATGTTGGCGGCGCTGGGGAGGGAGAGGGAGGTGGGTACGGTGTGGATGGGGGACATCGGTGTCGACCAGCTGGAGGGGGCGGCCGACGAGTTGCCGACGATCGGGAGACTACACTTCGCGCTGACACGTACGCCGAGAGGGCATTAGTATCCTTCGCCCTCATTGCTGCCTTGTCTGTGTCCTTCTTCAGTGCCCGCTGGTGTGCAGGATGCCGGCAGCTTCGTCCGCACCGGCCTCTCGTCGGTGACCCCGCACATCAGGGGCCTCCAGCGTGTGATTCTGACGGTCGACACGACGACAGCTGAGCAGCACGATTTCATCGAGGCCTTCGTCCCTGTCGGCACCAACATCGAGGGCTTCACAATCATATGCATCAGCCGTGTCTTCTGGGGGGGCACACAGGTGGAAATTGCTGCACCTTCCGATGCCTGAAGGTGAGAGAACGGCACTGTGTATGCGAGGGTTTGTATGATCACGCGTGACCGTGCTCCTGTCTGCTCTGTGTGTGTGCGATGGTGTTGGTGTTTGTCAGGCCGGCTGTTGTGTGTGGTGGATCATTCATAGAAGCGGGGCGGTGGCAAGGCAGTGTGGCCATGCTTAGCTGACGACATTCGTGCGCTGCAGAGCATAGCTGTATGGGATGCGTGTGTGTATGTGTGTGAATGTTTGTGTCGGTGACTGCCTAGGCAGCTGTACAGAGTTGACGCACGGCGAAGTAATGCTGACAGTGTGTGTGTGTGTGTTGGTGTTGGTGTCTGGCCGTCTATTGTGTGAGGACGATTCTCAGCTGACGCCATTCATGTGTTGGATAGCATAGCTTGATGTGTGTCTGTACGAGACTCATCTGCAGTGTGCAGACGAGGCCCTTGTTGGTTGTAAGCTTGCACAAACGTTAACACACTTGTGCATGGCCTCACTGGGTCAATTCACCCGCAGATCGAACAAATATCGCACAACTCACCGACACACCCACACACGTTCATGACGTCTTCACCCTCTCTCTCTCTCTCTCTCTCTCTCTGCGAATGCTGGCTGGCGTGAGTGTGACTGCGTGCCCATCCATCCATCCATCCATGCATAGCTCCCCGCACATTGGCCGCGTGCATGAACGTGTGTCTCTATGCGTGTGTCGCTGTCATGCAGTCAGTTGCGGAGTGTCATGTTGTGTGCGTGCGTGCTAAAGGACGGACTGCTGCATTGAAAGGTGGCGTGTGTGCGTCATTGACACGCTACATCTACATGTCTCCTTCTCATACGAGACATAATTAGTGAGTTGTGCATGTCATTGATTGATTGCAGCTTCGGCGTTCGTTCGCGACAAAAAAAAAAACAAATGTCTCCATTTCTGTAGGTGTGTGTCCTTCGCCTGTCTTGACTACGGTCGTGCATCAGTACTGACTGCCGCTTCGAGTTCTCGCCTCCAAAAGAAACGTGTCATGTTCTGTGTATGTGGGTAATACTGGGTATGTCTGTCTCTCTGTCTGTCTGTCTTTTGTCTGCTCGACTTTAGTCGAGCAGCTCTGGGCCCTCTTTCAAAACCTAGCGTTTCTTGCACTTTCCTGTACTGCTAGTCAAGAGTGCTTTGAGTGATTTGGAGCAGGAAAGCCCGGGCTTGCACTTGTAGCCTAAGGTCTCGTCGCAGACATCGCCCTCGACGCCTTCCAGCTGCACCCCCACACACACATATCTACGCGAGCGTGTGTGTATGAGTGTACACTCGGTTACCCTGCAGATTCCGTGCTTGGGCTCCTCCTCCTTCTTGCCAGGGGCCTTCTTGAAGCACTTGACGCCTGGCTTCTGGTACTCGGCCACGAGGGGAGGCGTGTAGCAGTCGTCGTGCACGACAGACAGAGACTTGGAGCACTTCTGTCCCATCTTTTTCTTGCCGCTGAGGGGGAGCAGGCTGCGAAGCTCCGTGTCCAGCTCTCTGGCGTCGTTGTTCCGCCCGCCCGACCATCAGCTCTCCCTTGAGGGGTTTGCACTGCTTGTGGGGGTATCCAGGCATGGAGACACAGGCACACACGAGGGTCCCCCCCCCCAGTAGCGCCCGCAGTAGCCGTACTGTCGTTCAAAACACACAAAATGAATCAGACATCGTCCTCATCTGACGTGTGTTCAAGGAGGACAAGAGAAGGCAAGCCGCAGAACACCGGAACGACTCCCTCACCTCGTGTAGGCTGCTGTGGCCCGCGCCTTTAGACGAAGAGGTCTCGAACGACCAATGGATCTCGCACATGGCCTTCCATCCGTGCGTCGCGCCTCGCCACTCTTGCTGCTCTCTTGGGACCGTATTGGCTTCAGGAAGGTTGACGTATATCTGTTTCTCAATGGGATCGGAGGCTGTCTGGCCAGGCTCCATCCTGAAGGCACACACACGTGAGTAGAGATGTGATTATGGTCAGTATGAGAGGGGAGGTCACAATGGTGTACCAGTTTGAAGGTCAGGTTCTTCGGAGGCGTGGCCACCTCCTTCATTATCGTCCGGGCGTCCTTGCCCATGATTTGCTCCCACTGGATCAGATCGCTGTCGTGGATCACGCAGAAGTCCTCACCGGCCAGCTCGAGCCCGCCATGGATCGTGACGGCCAGCGAGTGATGTGGCGAGACTCCGGCTGCATCATCCACATATGAGACGGGGCTGCCTCACTGCCTCTCTTGTGCACAGCCCATCGCTCACCGGTGTAATTCAGCCCATAGGAGGGGACGGCAAGGAGCGCCAGAAGCTGCATATTGTCAAGCAGAGAAGGACAACATTGTCATTGGAAATCGCCTGTGATGTGTCCCCGTCTCATTGGAGTAGTGTCTGGGAGCAGCCTACCGAGGCAACCGGCAGGAGAAGGCTCATCATGATGATGGCAAAGGGAACAAGAGTGTGAGCGATACGGGCGGGGACTGTCAAGAGGGACTGCGAACACGAGACGGGGGCCCCGGGGCGGTTGGCCCCCAGGACGAAACAAAAGGACACTGGTAGCCAAAGGGGTATAGGAGTGGCCCGTCTGCCGTGCACTCACATGCGCACACGTGATGTGTCTTTGTCTGTTCATGCAGATGGGAGAGGTGAGGCCCGCAGGGCCAACTTGCGCCCAGTTCAATTCAAGGCTTGAGCGAGTTCCCGTAGTTTACCGTAGTTTGGCGCACAAGTCGCGCCTATTGTGCAGAAGACATACTGGTACAGTACACATACAAGCAATTGGACGCGTCTTATTTCCTCTCGTGAAGTCAACGCTGCAATCAAGCTTAGAATAGAATATATTGCCATCCCCCACTCCATGATCCCGCATGTCTCATGGCGCGTTTTGAGATGGACAGGGACCAATTTGAAGGCAAAAAGCGAGGCTGTTCCTGCATCCTGCATGCTTCTCAGCCGGTGCCTGCATGTAATGGATCTACATGTAGTGTGGTTGATCAATGGGGCTGGGCTAGTGGGCATCGGTGTGCGCCGCTGATTGCCTGACTCGTGTGTCTGACTCGACCGGGTGCTTTATGGCTTGATGTCTTTCGGGTTATCAGCATTGATTGCAGCTTTGAGTCCATGGCAAGAAACCAGACGTGTACACGTCAGCCTGCCTGCCTGCCTGTCTGTCTGCCTGTCTGTCTGGCTGGCTGCCTGTCTGGCTGCTTTGCGCTGGTTCGTCCTCACATATATTGTTTGGGTTTGCACTCTCCTGTACCCCCAAATAATGCCGTGAAGCCGCTGCACTCAAATCTCGGCTTGCACACGTGTTTCTTATTGTCGCACGGCTCGCCTTCGCCCGCTCGCAGCTGCAACGACCCATACGTATTACACAGACAATGGCTCGCTCGTTGAACGCAGATGAACGTTAATGCGCTCACCTTGCAGAATCCGTGCGTGGCCTTCTTCTCTCTCTTGAAGCACCTGACGGGCGCTGCATGCCGATTCGACACCAGGGGCGGCGTGTAGCAGTCGTCGTCCGTGCTGCACTTCTCCCTCCAGCTTTTCTTGTTTGAGCCGGCCGTTGGCAGCAGGCTGGCCAGTTTCGTGCCCAACTGCGTTATCTTCTTGTCCTGCTCGACCGTCGGCTCTAGTTCAAGGGGCACACATGGCGTCTCGTGGGCATAGTATTGCCAAGACCCGCTGACACAGGCACACACGCGGCCTCCCTGCTGTCTCCCGCAGTAGCCGTACTCGGCCAACTGAGGGCGGTGAATCAGCGACCCGAATCCGGTCAGCTGGACCTGGTATCTGATCGAACAGGCACTGAAGTTCTGGGCCTCCTTGTGTGGAGGCAGATCGGCAATGATCTCATCGATTGGCGTTTCAGAGGAAAAGAAATTGCCACGCGTCTTCACTGGCTCCCTCCTGCACTCACACACGGGCAGCTAGAGACGTGTGCACAGAAAGGACCGACGTATGCGAGCGGCGTGTGATTACCAGTTGAATGTCAGGTGCTTCAGAGAGGACGCAGTGTAGCGTCTGGCGTCCTCTCTGATAATTTGCTCCCACTGTCCCTTCCAGTTGTCGGGCATCAAACAGGGGTCCTCGGCCACCTCAAAGCCGCCATGGTGGCCACTGCGGAGCGTGGCGGTCAGCGAATGACGAGATGAGAGTGCGGCTGCATACGGGTGTGAGACATGAAACGGCCTGCTTCTTCAGCACAGCCCATCGCTCACCGGTGCGATTCAGCGCATTGGAGGGGACGGCAATGGCAATGAGCACCAGCAGCTGCACACACACGCACACGCACACAGGAGGCAGACACGACAGCAAAACCCCGATCATCGATGATGACTGTCTCATTGCAGTGGCGTCGGCCATCAGCACGTAGATACCGGGGCAGCGGTCAGGAGAGGCGACCGTTTGATCATGGTGGGGCACGACGGTCAGACGAGGAAGAAAGAAGCGGGAAGGGGATGAGGCCTGAGACTGGGGGCAGGCTGGGGGCCATTTGCGTCGTCCGGGCATCATCGTGGCAATATGGAAGATAGTTGCAATGAAAGGGTCGGTGCACTATCCGAGCAGTAGAGCTGTCAGTCAGATACCGTGAGATGGAAGAGAACGCGTCGCGGGATGGAAGAAGAGGACGTCAAGATCTCGGTTGACGAGGTACACACACACATGCGTTATCGCACTCGGACACTCCACTCGAACGGCCACAGCCACAGATCTTCAAAGATCCATGTGTTCGCTCCTGCAGCTGGGCTCCCTCCTCTCCGCCCGACGGCCAATGCACGCAGATCCATCGCCCGATACCTCCCCTTCCACCCACCCGAAGCGGCCCAGATGCCTGCTAGCAGAAGAGGATGATAACGGTGCCGCAAACACAGAGAAAGACGGCGCTTCGCTGAGTGATCAGGAGAGTGGCGAGGTAGAGGCAGAGGGTGTGGTCCCTGGCCACCTGGCGGCAGTGAGGGAGCGCCTGAGGGAGATAGGGGACTCATGCAGCCAGGTAACTGATGGATGGATGGATGGCATTTATCCATAGATGTGCATTTGCATGTGTGTCTGTGTGTGCAGGACTTGCGGCGTCTTCAGACCTTGATGCAGAAGCGACCCGTCAGTAGTAGCAGCAGCTGCAGGGTCTGCAAACAGGCGGAAGGACAATCCATTGTCGCGTGCACAAACAGGTGCCTGTCCTTGTCTTTCACGCAGGAATCGCATATCGCGTACGTGGCTTCTTCCCAACAAGGGTGAGCAATACGAATATATGGCATTCACTCGGCACGTACACAACCATCTGCTGGTCCTCTTCACGTGTCAGCAGCATCGCTCTCGATGTGACTGCTGAGGATCGGACTTCACCGAAAGACCCAAGAGAAGACCACTCGTCGCTGCACGATCGGATGGGTGAGACCAACACCCCTCCCCCTCCCACACACACAATCCAAAACGAACACACCTAAGCTCATCTCAACATGTATCTTGGTCCATGCAGGCCGCATCGAGCAGTGCGCAGTGCGCGCCCTGCTGTCATGTGACAACCCCAGTAGCAGCAGCATGGAGAGCAGCGACCCGATAGCCAATCGGAAGATCGTGGCGCTGCAGGCCGCCCTGGCCGAGCAGCGACGGCAGATGGGCGAGGTCGTGGCCCAACACGACGCATGGAAGCATAGGTGTGGGGGGAGAGATGGTGGGAGAGAGAGGGAATGCACAAAGGCGATATGGTGGGTGGCTGTTGGATCGTGTTAGGTGTGCGGAGTTGAGGGAAGAGCTGGCAAGGGCGGAGAATGAGCTCATCCAGTGAGCTAGCTGACTATGGACACACACCATGTCTGCATATCGACGTGTGTGTGTATGTGTATTTGTGTGTATGTGTGTGTGCAGCGTTCGTTCCGTGTGCGCGTCTCAAGTGGGTCGGCTGGAGTACATGCTGGCGGCCGCCAACGCCAAGATCGAGGGCGGCCTCATGACGGCCGAAGACATACACACCAAAGCGTATGTGGCAACACAAACACACACACACAGACACACACACACACACAGAGAGAGAGAGAGATCCGCACCTTCCTCCATTTGTATGTCTGTCTTTGTGCATCTGTGCAGGGCGGAGGCCATCACGCATTTCCAATCGCAGGTGGACAGATACCACCCACCCAGCCGACACACACACACTCACCACTGCGCTGTCACTGCTGTCTCGTCAGTTGCTGTATTGGCAGGAGCGTTACGGCACTGCTGTCAATGCCTCCCCGCCCCTCTCCGTCGTCGCACTCGACCGGCAAATGGCCAAAATGGAGGAGAGAATCCGACACCAACAACACGCCATCAACCACCTGCACGTGAGCAGGAGACACACTCGTCTGTGTGTGTGGATGGATGGATGGATGCAGAGGGACTCGGCGCTTTGTGCGGAGGCGGTTGCCCGTTTCTGCAGCAGCGACGTCGAGCCCCAGCAGCAGCAACCCTCATCCGACGGCAACGCACCACCGCCTGGCAGATGGGTCCACTCTCTCTACGCCGAGGTAAGCCGACACATATCTCCCGATCGTATCATTTTTCCGGTGTCTGTATGTCAGCTGAGCCCTCACGGCCGGCAGCTTCTCCGCACGGCCCTGCAGCCCCCCCAACAACAGCAACAGCACCAAAAGAAACAACCTATCGACTCGACAGCCAAGTCCCGCTACTTCCCCCCCTGGGCCCTTCTCTTCGGCACGCCCGAGGCCACACAGCAGCAGCAGCAGCAGCAGCAGCAACAAGGCAACAGCACATCAGACGAGGAATGGCCCCCTCTGCGGACCAGCGGTCGTCTGCGGCCGTTCCGTGTCAAGAGGAGGAAAGACAAGGGAAGGGCCGCTCGGCTGGCGGCGACGCGCAGAAGGGCCAGGAGGGGAGGGCGCGGGGGAGGGGGAGCCGGCAAACCATCAGCACCACGACCACCAGCAGCAGCAGGTGCTGTCCCACACTCCACGGCACTCCATGCCATCCCTGACCCTTTTCGCGTCACGTGGCCGGACGGTGCGCAGAGACACGAAGGTGCCGACACCAGCGGTAGCAGACGAGAAGACGGCGGGGCGAGCAGTGAGGCCAGGGATGGTGTGCAGAGAGGGTCGTCGGAGAAGGGCAGCCTAGCGGAGTGCGTGACGACCCTGTCGATAGAGGAGGCAGCTGGCGATAGGGAGAGTTGGAGTGGGAGTCTGGCAATGGTGGGGGATGAGGGCATAGAGCGGGAGAGGACGGCAGTGACATCGCTTGTCAAGGTGGTGGCCAACACGACACACGCTGCGGCAGAGAGAGGGAGCGGATGGAAGGTTCTCTGCTCTCTGTCTGTGTGCGTTGTGTGCGTGTGTGTCAGAGTGAGGCGCGGCTCGTGGCCGAGTGGGTGATGGGCGACATTGGCGGCGACACGCACCCCAACCCTCCCCCTCATGCGACCCTACTCAAAGAGATCTTCAAAGCCGCTGCAAATGGTACGCCCATACATCAGACATTCCACCACTCACCGAACACACTTTTTCTGTCCGTTAGCCGATTTGGCGTCGCTAGATGTGCTCCTGCGCGTGTGCCCCTCTCCCTCTGCCCTCCCCAACGCCCCATGCCAGTGGTGCCCCCTGCACGCAGCGGCCTTCTTCTCCCCAACAGCAGCAGCAGCAGCAGCAGGTGGTGGTGATCGTCTGGGTGTGGTGGAGCGGCTGCTGGCCAAGAGCTGGCCGGTCGACCACAGCTCGGCAGGGGGAATGACGGCACTGCACATGGCAGCACTCACTGGTGGGAGAGAGAGAGAGACAGAGAGAGAGAGAGAGAGAGAGATGCCCACCATGTGTTGGTTCGTGCGTCAGGGAGAGATGAGTGTGTGGGGTCCCTCATGGGCGCTGGGGCGGATGTGACGGCCGTCGACAGTCGGGGCAACACCGCTCTCCATCTCGCGTGCACACAGGTGGGCATATGTCATCGGTGGGGAGAAGGTCCATTCCATCCATCCATCCGTCCGTCCGTCCATCTGTTTTCTCGTCTCAATTCGTTGTAGGGGTGCATCCGGTCTCTGCTCGAGCATGGTGCGGCTGCCGACGCAGCCAACAACACCGGACACACGCCGTCCCTTGTAGCATTCTTCAGCCCCACAGCAGCAGCAGAGGCACACACACCGCCAAATTCTCGAGAGGCCGCGGCCGATGGCTCCTCGGTACGCATACACACACGCACACGCAGAAGGCTTGTGAGACTCTCTCTCTGTCTCTCTCTGTCTCTCTCTGTCTCGTGTGTGTGTGTGTGTGTGTGTGCAGACGGTGGAGGGTGTAGCGTACCGAGTTGTCGGCACGAGCCAATGGCAGACCTTCCACAGCACACAGCAGAAGGCGAGATAACCAGAAAGAGACAAAGAGAGAGAGGGAGAAAGAGAGAGGCACGAACACCCACCCGACTCAACCTCTCTGTATCCATCAGGGCATATCTATAGCAACTGTGGTTCGCGAGAGCGTCATGCGCGTGATGGCCGACCTGGGCACTCACGCCGCCGACAGCAGCGACTACGCCCACTTCGCACAGTGGCCAAAGGGCAGATACCTTCTCGAGCTCACCAAGCACGAGACACGATACGGTCAGCACATCACACCCACAAAAGTCTCTCCATCTGTGTGCGCATTGGGTGGTGTGTGTGGGTGTGTGGATGGATGTGTGTGTGTGTGTGTGCAGGGATATGGTCGGACTACGTGTGCAACTTCACGGCGTCGAGCCTGGCTGACGCCGTGTCGGTGGGGCTCATGTCGGCGCACATGCCGGGACACACCATAGAGGAGCTGCAGAAACAGGTGGGTGTATGCATACATACGCTCGCTCCCAGATGCACCTCTCTCTCGCTCTGTGTCTGTGTGTCAGGTGTTGGTCGTGACGTCGCATCGTATGGCGTTCATCCACGTGGGCACCGCCTCGCTCGCGCGGCTCGTGGCCATCCAAGACATACAGGCGCGCACACACCACGCCACACTTGCCGACATTGCTGCATTCCTGTCTGTATGTGTCTGTGTCCGTGCAGGCCCTAGTTGTGCCGTCGTGGTCGAGCGTGCTGCTGCTGATACGGCCGAAGAGCGGGCCAGACATCCTCATAGACACGCCAAAGCGGACACGTACGCATGTCTCTGTGTGTGTGTCGGCCTTTCATCTCGCCGTTGGTATATCAGAGTTGGTGTACCTTCTTCGCCAGAACGGCACCAATCTCACCCGCAGAGGCACTCCGTGCGATGCGGTCGAGGTGCCCCCCGCCCCCACCCCTCCCCCGCCCCCCTTCCCCACTGCACACCGCCCACACCCATGTCAGCAACAGGCAGCCGAGCCCACACCCACACACACACCGGCCCTTGCTCCCACCAACACCGCCTTCGATCCCTCTGTGGCTACACCACTGCAGCAGGTGGGCTGGGAGGGTGGGTGAACAAATGGGTGGGTGGATGGATGGATGCCTGTCTGTCTGTGTGTGTCGAATGTGTGTAGCCACAGAGATCGGGTGATGATCTGGGCGAGCAAGAAGGCCATGAAGGGACCATCGGCTCCCTCATCTTCGGGCCCATCCTCCGCGCAGCAGCATCAGCATCAGCAGCACCGCAGTACTCAGCCACACCCACAGCTACGAGGGAAGCGCAGCCGGGCACTCTGTCGTCTGTATCTTTCATGCGCGACATCAAGGGCATCGTGGCCAACGTCATGGGCGGCGTGAGGTGGGCGGCTGCTGCTGCTGCTGGTGAGCAGGGAGAGGAGGGCGACTGGCACGGTGACTGTGGTGACGAGTGCATCGACGAGGAGGAAGGAGGGCTCACGACAATCGTCCAGCAAGACGGTACGGTCGGCTGTGCACCAGCCAAGAGAGAACAAAACACGGAAGGAGACCAAAGGCCTCTCTGTGGGTTTGCCTTGTGCAGGTTTCTCTCATCCGGCATTGTTTCTCACGTCGGAGGCCATCCTGCCGTTGCGTGACGGCCCCACAACAGCCACACAGCAGCGGGCCGTGGATGTGGTGTGTGTGCGGCCTGAGGTCTTCCTGCTGGTCGCGGCGTCGCCCATGTCCATCATCCACCGAGGGCCGTCGTCATCCACACCGCCGCCGCTCTACTTCTCCTTTCTGGCCTTCTGGACGGCCCCGCTGGTCAGCCGACAGTCAGCTCCAGAAGAGGTTCCGCGCACACGAGCTGTGTGTTTCGTGTGTGTGTGTGTGTCTGTCGATCGGTCCTGCAGGGCGAGGGCCTTTCTCCCTGGTGTGATGGCTACGAGGACGGCTTGGCGGTCGCGGGCAGCGATCCTTATCGGCCGCTGTGGGAGCTCAACTTCGCCGTGCTCAAGAAGCACATGGAAGGTGCAGACAGACAGACAGACAGAGGCACATGATGATAGGGAGAGGGGGTGTGTATGTCTCTGCGTGTGTTGCGATTTTGTAGGTAGCGGCGTGTTGGAGTGGTCGCGGCGTCCCGGCGAGACGGCCGACAAGATGATAGGGCGGCTCAGCTGCCGCCACATACGGGAGGTAGGCAGGCACACAATCAGACAGCTGTATTGATTGCCTGCGTGTGTGTGTGTGTGTGTGACAGTTGACGGTGCTGGACAGCCCCGATGGCCATCCGTGCCTCCTCATCGACCTCGTCACCGACACACCTGGTCAGTGAGTGAGCTCTCTCTTCATCTCCACGTGTGGATCCATCAATGCCATTCACTAATGGCAGATGGGCCTTTGGCGCGTGTGCGCTATCTGGTGCGCGCCGAGACCGACGCCAACCGCAGACAGTGGGTGTCAGCCCTGCAGGCCGTGTGCTGCTCGATGGCCAGCAGCCGGCCAGTGGTAGTGCGAAATGCGGTTGGTGTGACTGACAGCAGGTCTCTTCTCGTGCAGTAGAGGGAGGGCAGAGAGGAGACTGGCGTGGATGGATGGATGGACATGTATGTGGACGGGCTTGTGTGTGTGTGTGGTCAATATCTCCGTCGACTCACGCAGTCACGAGCATTGGATATCAGTCGATGAGGTCTTACGTCTACACACACCACACACGACACACACTACACACACCACACGCACTACCGCCGACAGACGAATCCGCCAATGAGTTGGGGCTGTCTGTCTACGAGGGCCATATGATGACCACAATATCCTCACTGTGTTGGCCGTCGCCTCCCGCGGCCTCCATGACCCTGCTGCCGGTCACACGCTTGAGCCTGAAGCCCTTGACGCCGAGGGCCTTGGCTATCAAATGGAAATTCAACGCCGCCTGACAGACACAGCGGCATGAGCCAGCCTGCATGTCTGCGTGTCTGTGAGACTCACTGTGGCGTATTTGTGTTTCTTGTCTTCGTTGTCCGTGAGGTAGTTCTCGTCCTTCTTGATTCGCTTCTCGGTCGTGGCCAGTTGGGCATCGAGCTGCTGCGCCTGCTCGGCCAGGCTGGCCTTCTCGGACTGAGAGAGCGCACCCTGACGGACACACACAGGCACACACAAAGGGCCGGGAAGTGCACCCAGACAGAGACACACACGCTCACGCACGCACCTGTCGGTAGATGGCTACTGATCTCATGTTGTCCATATCCTTGTCTGTCATGAATATGCGGTGCGTCGTGTGGGTGACGTCAGACACATACGCGAGCTCATACACCTGGCCGGCTCGGGCGGCTCCGACCAGACTACTGCAGCAACACACAAGCAGAGATGCCTTGTCTGTGTCTCCCTCTCTCTCATTCTCTCTCTGTGTCTCTCTGTGTGTGCCCACGTGCCTTAGCTTGACTGCATCCTGCGGCCACACCATCATCACAACGTCGCTGTGGCCCTGCTGGCTCGCGTTGATAAGGCCGACTCGTCGACACCCCTCTTTTTGAAGCCGCTGCTGCTGAGGGCCTTGGCGATCGCATGGAAGCTCAACACAGCCTGCCCACACACACACAGAAACCAAAACATACATAGGAGAGATGTGTGCAGACAGGAAATGTGAGACACGTGTTGGGTACCGAGGCGTATTTGCGTTTGTCAGTTTCGTTGTCATCGAGGTATCTTGGGTCCGCCTTGATGCGCTTCTCGGTCTTGGCCAGCTTGGCATCGAGCCTCTGCGCCTGCTCGGCCAACACGGCCTTGTCCGACTGGGACAGCGGTCTACCCTGAGCGACAAACACAAGGGACCGACATGTGCACACACACACACACACACACATCCACCCTTCGTTCTTCCTTGCTGTGCGCACGTGTATGTCGACAGCCACTGATGTGAGCTCTTTCATGTCCGTCGCGTCGATGAGTGTGCGGTGGGTCTTGTGTGTGATGTCAGACACATACGACACCTCATACACCTGGCCGGCAGCGGCAAGACGACGCATCGCCTCCACACCCAGACTGAACACACCCACCCACACACAGCAACACAGCAGAGGACATGAGGTATCAAACGTCTTTGTGTGCGTTCCATCCATCCATCCATCCATCTCGCCTGTATGCGATGTCCGCCCCATCCGAGAAAGCGCTCTGCCGCTCTGGTTCTGGCTCTGGCTCTTGGTCGGGCTCCTCCTGCACACTTGAAGAGGGGCTGGCCTTTTGGGGCTTGGCCGCGGGGTGAGGCTGCCCCCCTGTCGCTTGCTTTGGTTGTGTCTTCTCGTTCTTCTTGCCACTGGTCTGCGTGGTCTGTGTGTGCTGTGGTGCTCTGGGCGGCTGCTTGGGAGGGGCAGGGGGAGGGGGCATCTGTGGCATCTGTGGCATCTGTGGCATGGGTGGCACCGGTGCGATTTGCTGCTGCATCCATGTCTTCTGCTGCTGGCTTCTGTGGCTGCTCGGCTGGTACACGGGTGGAGCAGGGTGGGGGTGATGGTGATGCACTGGGGCAGAGGGAGCCGAATGGTGAACCCTGCACACACCACCACACACAGCAGGCAGAGACAAATGAATCGATACACTGCAATGCATCCTGTGCATTTCTCTTCTCCCTACACAACAGTCACACGCGACAGCTCATCGAGCGCAGTCCCCACAGTCGCGACGAGCACCGTAGCCATGCCGCAGCAAACGAAGAACACAGCCGCCAGGGCGGCCAAAAACACTGCACACCACACGCCACAGACAACACGCAAAGACGAACAGTCGCCACGGATTCTGATTTCTGTCCGGTGCTTTCCGTCCGTACCATAAAAGCCGTCAGATTCGTCAACCTGTTTGTTGCTCTTGCGGCTGCGTCGAGGACTGGTCTCTCCTCTCGCATCCGTGCACACAGGGGCGGAGGGAGGGAGGTCCTCGCGGGGCGGCAGGGGGACCGGCCGCTCCATCCGATACGGTGCAAAGGGTGGGATGGGAGGAATGGGGGGAATTGGTGGGAGGGGTGGGGTCGGCTGCATCGGTGGTGTCATCGGTGGCGTCATCGGGGGCGTCATGTTCTTGCGTCGGCGGCTGCTCTGCCGGCGCACACAGACGGGAGTGATGGTGGTAGATCTCTTCGTTGACCGCCCGCCACAGCCCATCCCCTTCTGCCCCTCCCATGAGCCCTTCAGCACCGTCCCACGACTACCGGGCTGGATTTCGTTCATCACACCCTGGATGTCCTTCATCACACCAATACTCCTGGGGGGAGCGGCACTGCGAGCATCATGATGCGATGCATCCTTCTCATGACGTCGCCCAGCGGCCACACGAGAGATCTCCTTCATGGCGTCCGAACGGCTGGGCGGGCTGGGTGGATCATTGCGAGCGGCGCAGATGCTGCGCAGAACGGCGCCTCTGGTGGGTGCGGGAACGTCATCGTCATCGTCATCTTCGTCGATGTCGAAACGTGGGTAGGCGGTCTTGCCGCAGGGCGGGGAAGACTTCTCGTCATAGAACATGGCGCCGCACTAGGTAAGACGCGGTTTCGACAAGAGGTAAACGGAACTCCCTGGCCGGGAGCGGCCAGGTGGCAGATACGGGAGTCAGAAAAGAGGGAAGACACGCCAGCAAATCACATGTACACATGGCATTCGTCCATTTTTGCAAACACGTGTATGCACACGCTGTGCACATGCTGCGAGCCCGCCAGTGGATGGCCGGCACTCAGAATGGCTTCCTACAGAAGGCGCACTTCGGCCTCGGCTCCTCCTCGAATTCCTCATCTTCATCACCGCCATCATCTGCTCTCTCAGGCGGGCCCGACAGCACACGGCGGTAGCACTCCTCACAAAAACACACGCATCCTACCCCCACACAACCAGACACATTCAAACATTTCCACAGAGAGAAATGAATGTCAGCCCATCCCCCGCCTCTCTCTCTTCCTCACTGACCGCAGGGGAGTGCGACGGTCCGTTCTCTCGTCTGGCAGGCCACACACATGCGGTCGCTCTCGTCCTCCTCCTTCTCCCTCTGGTCGTGCTGCGCCTCAGCGCGCCGCTTGAAGCCCGCCAGCCGCACCATCTCCTCTCCCGCCCGCGCCGCTATGCTTTTGATCTCAGCCGCAGACCCACACTGGTGGAGTCGGTCGTCGGTGAGGCGCTCCTTCTCGAGCGTGGCATTCTGCTGCTCGAGCCGGTCGATGCGCGTGTGGTGAGCGGCGATCTCTTGCTTGAGCTGTGTGATGCTGTCGTCCTTGACGGTAAGGAGGGCGCTGTGGCGCTGCAGTTGGCTGTCCTTCACCCTGCACATGCCGACAAGAGAAGCGATGAACGGATAAATGGAGTCGACCCCCTTTCTCACCGAATGGTTTGGTTGAGCTGGGCAACAGTGGAGTCGTGTGCCTGTTTGATCTCCTGTGCCTTCAGAAGTTCCTGATGGAAAGATGAATGCGCCACACGGCACAGCACACCACAGCAGGGCACGATGATGGAACTGATGCCATGGCCCATTTATATAACCACCACCTGCCTGATTGAGTTGCTCTAATAGGTCGAACACAGCCCCCCTGCCTGTCCTGATGGCTGCCAACTGCCTCTGCGCCCGCCGCACCGATGAAACACTCCCAAAGTCATCTACTGAAGCTAGAATGGACGCTGCTTGGTCGGCCGCGGCGGGCGAGATGCGCGACAGCCGCTCGCGCACCTCCACCACGCCACGATAGACGTCCACCTGCTGCACCTTGTTCTCTCGGCGGATGGCGAACAAGCCCAGGAGCGGCTGCTCGCTCACACCGCCCACCGATACGATCTGCAACACCTGTGTAAAGAAAGACACGCTGTGTGCGGTAGCACCATATAGGCGCATTCCATTTTGTGATTGCTTTCTCTCTCTCTCTCTGTGTGCATGGGGTTAACGAAAAGCGCATCGGCACGAGGAGTCCATCAAGAATGCAAACTAAGAACTAGCTAGCTGTCCCTTCAATTCAATCAC